TATATCCATACCTAAATATTACTAAAATGATAATTGATTTTATCCTATTAGAAAGATTTATTATATTTATATTGTTTTCTGTTAATTATATTCCAGTAATGATTGTTTAAGGGAATTCTCATTATGAATAGTTGTTTGTCTTATATATATTAGCTCGAAACACTGCCGATTTTCCAAAGATTTTCTCTTGTTATCATGGCATCACTATTCAAAAATCCTGAGTATTCATGTTTACGTCACCAATAAATTGAAAAATCTCGGTGTTTTTATTTGAATATGTGGTCTTCTTTTATATTAGTAGATACTTTACTTTGTTTCTTAATGGGTTAAAGTAGTTGATTATTTGTAATTGTACAATATATCAACTAAATTTTGATTTAATTATAAAAATTTGTCAACAGCTTAATACTGTTTACATACACGCATACCAGTTGGTTAGTGAAACGAAATCCAATCTTATCCTGATTATGGATGATGCTCTTCAAAAGTTGTTCTGAAGGCCATTGTGAACATATATTCAGTAATGTTGTGTTGTTATCGTATCTAGTTGTTTGTTGTATCGTCTCTTTTTGTCGATTCTTTATTAGAAGACAAATTATTGAACCAAGGTCCTAATGACTACTTGCAAGTAGTCAAAATATTAATAATTTAGAAAATCATTTACCAATTGATGTAATTCTGGAGGGTTAATTTCATCATGTATAAATATTCATCAACCGTCGTAGTAGATTATGTTCATTAAAGATGTTAACTCTTAGAAAAATTCTTTTAATGTAAAAAGTTCTATATCGTACTTTCCGGTCTTTATAATGAGATAGTTTTAAAAAGCCCATCAAAAACTAACATACTTGTCGATTGCTTCCATCTACAGAACATCACACAGTACACTAATCTATATGTTGAATCACCTGGATTAGAAGTTATACAACAAATAGTCGATAAGATCTTATCAACAACAGGAACTAATTTACGTGATATAGGATGTTACTCAAAGGTCAATTACTCGAAATCTGACTCTGCTTCTCATAATTTACTTATGTTTTGTAAGAGTAACAGTTAAATAAATGTATTGGAAAAAACTATTTTTAACTTACAAACAGAGAATGTATCTATACAAAGAATATTAACTGTGATAATAATACGTTTGTTCAATTTAAAAAAATATGATGTCAGGGGATGAAAATTAGTGTACTGAAATAATTGAAAGACGAAGGTTATTGTTGACAGCCATGAACTTCCGTACTATAGATTCTAGAGTGTAACTTTATTTCTCCATTCAGGTTATAGACTTATGGTTTATATCTTTATTGTGTAGATTTGTTTGTTTATTAAATTATTCTGAAATGATACCAGCCGACTCCCAACTACAACTAATGCGAGAATCAATTCTCTCGTACAATTTCCACCTACTCAAAAAGAATACACCACTTCAGGAATATTTCGAGTAACGGTATGTTATGTTTAAGACTAGAACATAGGGATTAATTAATCCTTGAGTTTTAATAAGAATGAATTAATGTGACGTATGCTAGTAGCATTTTAACCTGAGGACAATTAAGCGTTGGTATATGTATAAATCATTCAGAGATTGATAGGGAGCTACTACGTACTGCGTATCATTTGTTCACAAATGCCCTCTTGCTTGATAGCATTAAAACCTTAACATCTCAGGGAAAACAAAATATGGCTAAACTTTTAACTTGTAATTGTACAATTTCAAAAATACGCTTTCATGATGTCGTAAAATTCATCATTGATATTGTTTGTTCTTATTTTAAATATAATATTCCTTTTGTTTAAACTATTCCCACTATACTAATAAAGTTACTAGATATCATCAATCTAAGCTAGATTATTGAATATGTTCAATTGCTTAGCCGTTCTTCCTTACATGTCTTTATCATTTTTATCATTATTTTACAACAGATTTAATCTCTAGGTTCCTCCCACCTATTCTTATTTGGATAATCATATTTATAACAATTTCAACTATCCCTCTATCATTGATATATTGTATACAAATTAGGCGTAAGTCAATGCAAACTGTGCTATCTATACCTATTGATTTTTTGGATAAAAATGCAAAATCGAAACGTGTTGATGTTTTCCGTAAAATGAATTTACTGTACACAAAGCCAGAACATAAATTATTGTTGCATCACTCCGGCTCTTCTACATCGTCGTCGCCACCATCGTCGTCATTATCTTCCCCGTTATCACCATGTACAATATATTCTCGATCTGGTTCTTCTAACATCAGTAGTGTCGATACAGATACAAAACATAAGATAATAGATATACTTACGTCATTTTCACAAAGATTACTATGTCAACCATCCAAATATTTTTCACAAAAATATAACGTTCTACAATGTAACGTAATGCTGTTACGATGGTTAAATCAGTATTTGAATTCTAGTCCTAAAACATATATACCGAAATCATCTTTTACTCTAGAAAATCTCCTTGGTGAAGGTAATTATGGAATTGTTTATAAAGGAAAGTTATCCATTAATGCTGACGACGAAAGCAATTCTAGTGATACTGAGATTGCTATCAAAACGTTGAAAGGTGAGTTCGGTTATTTATATATATATATATATACCACCCAGTAAATACTTTAAATATTTAATTGCTTTTGTGATTAAAAATATCCCCTCCCTATCTAATGAATTTTATTATGTATGCATTCTACAAATTATAGCCAGTGTTACTGACGACTGTTGGGACACCATTCTAATATAATCTCATCACTTACCCAATCGAAAACGCATCAGCTAAAACGTTAATTTGAATAGTCTTATTATTCGAATATCCGTAGACCAAATATTAAATTGAGCATATTGATGGATATATATCTTGAAGATAATCTCTCACCTTTTGACCCTTCTTCCTCCATTGATGACGTGTATGAAATGTTTATATTTTTTATATAATGCAGCAGCTTTGGTTGATACATAATAATCCGGGGCTTTACATTGTTCATGATTGAGTTATATCACTATAATTATGTTTACTTCTTCGTGGACTTGATTTTCCACCTGGTTTATGATAAAACCATAATGATATACAAGCAGATAAATTGGATTACGAACAAGATGGGTACGACTGTAACCTTACTAATTATCTAGGACCCAATACTTCGGTTACATTTGCATATTGTTGGTTTAATTGATCACGTGAATCAACTAGAAGTGATAATGTTAGAGTATTCACATCATTTAGAATGGTCCTCGTTGATTTATGTTACATAGAAATGATAGGTAAATCACAACATAAATTCAGTTGTAATTAGTACGACAAATACTTTAGAATTCCAATTTACTGATTTTTTATATGCCCTACTCAAAACGGTAATATTTTCTCCGAATTAAAGATAATTTAGTTGTGAGATGGTAACTCACTGATGACAATGGTGTATGTGTCGCTCAATTTAGTGGATTAGTTGAAGTTAGACATTAACACCGTTGGATGCCGGCTCAGTGGTCTAGTGCTTAAGTGCTCACGCGCGAGACCAATAGATCCTGGGTTCGAATCTCGCAGGGGGCGAGGTCGTCAATGCGCACTGCTGAAGAGTCCCACGATAGGATGAAACGGCCGTCCAGTGCTTCCAGGTTTTCCATGGTGGTCTAGCTTCAATCGACTCATGATCTCAACAATTGAAATTTAGTTCTAGTTCAAAACACAGAAAAGTTCATAATATTAATAAACGTTTTGCACATTAAGTGAAAAAGTACATACATATATATGTTAGGAAAACAAATATTGCAAGAATGCGAAAATTTACTCTCGAATCGATTGCCTTTGAAAATTAATTCAAACATCCCTCTTTTTCTTAAATTATTCTATTCATTCATTCTAGGATATATCTAGTAACTAATTGTTTCATATTTTACGATGTTGTATAAGCTTTAAAAAAAACACATGAAATCTTCCCACCAATATTGTTAAGATCCAATTTTTAAACAATTTAATTAAAAAATGTCTGGTCAAACTACTTACAGATCATACTGAAAATGAGTAGAATACAAATTAATGTTATAAATTTCATTTGTATCTGTACAAAAATACTGAATTAATAAAATTATCTTTTGCATCTGTCTGTGTAATTAACTTAACCCAAAAATATAATTACATGGGAAATAAATAGTGCCATTTGTATGAGAGAAAATAAAAGCTTCATTTATTGTGAATAAAGTTGTCTGACAATGAACAATAATCTGTTGTACTCATATAGTCGTCCATATGTCACTGTCAATAATAGTAGTGATATTAATAATGATAATAGTAACAATAATAATAGTGTTATTATTATTACTAATAGTTGCTGAGTAAATCTACAAAGATAAGTCGTTGCTAGCTCATCATTAGTAAACGAATTTGTTTAAAAGTAAGGAATAATGGACAAAAGTATTAGGATATTGTGGACTAGCTCGTTAGAATTAAGATTTTTTCGCGAAATCCAAATATTACTTAAGACGAACAGTAGAAATACCTTTCATATTGCTCAAAATGTTTGAACTAATGGTGAAGTATTTCTTTTTTTCAACTACAGAGTAAGAACGGATAGCCTAAGACAAACTGAACTCAATTCTATCTTTTTAAACTGTAACGAGTAAATCAACACTATTCCTACATCTTAATCTCCAAACCCTTAACCCTGAAACAAACTTTAACTTGTTACCATATTTTGTAGACGAATTATTCGTATAGTGCCCTTCGGATTTCTGCGCTAAATTCATTGATCTGTATGAATACAAACCACTTTTCCGTTATAGCTAATGTCAATTCGTGATGAAAACTCTAAGCGTAAACCAATAATCCTAACCCTAATTAGGAACGATTCGAGGACTTGAAAATCTGTTTAGCTCCTTATAAAGATTATAAGAAAGGAATAAACGATATCTATAAACACGAGTCTATATGTCATTTTTTCTCAGTTTACATGCAGAGTAACCTGTAGTTTTTAATAAGTTTATCAAATATGTAGAATTTGTTTACATTGTCGTTTTCTTTTCCATAAACTATCCATTTATAAAGGCAATTTTGTAATTGACCAAGAACTAGCTCTGACCGAATAGTATTTCGGATTTGAACTTTTAAATAAATTAAAAACTTAGAGTTTTCATTTCAGAAATTGTGGATACCAAGTAAAATGTCGTTTACCTGTTTGGTGTATCATCTTTAACATGCATAATAAAAACAATTGGATTTATCAAACTACTAACCAATAATCTCTTTGGCTGGAGATCGAAAAAATCAGTTATCTTTGGTAATTTAAGTCCCACTGACTCACACTGCTAGGCATTATTTTCTTATAATGTGATATTAAAAAATTGCTGTGCACAAAGTTTGAGAATTCGGAGTTTTATTAATTATGGAAAAACTGATTGGTACTAAAACTCCTTAACTGCAATTCAAAACTATGGTATACGCCTGTAGCCCTAGATTTGTTCATTTACTGTGGTGAAACTGCATTTCTAGTTTGGTAGACTGTAATAATGTTTAATAACCAGGACACTAATCGTAGTGTCATTTGAGGAATAATTCTTTATATGATTCGTTGGGGACAATGAATTTACTTAATGAAATGGGTATTTCAGATCTTCAGAATCTGATTTTGTACTGAACTGTTTGACTTTAATAAATTTACCTAAGGTTGGAAGCGTTTGAAACTAGCTATTGAAGATTAGAGCCATTAGCTCATTGAGATGGTTTGGCTGTTTGTATTTAAATATTCAAAAATTATTAGGAAAAGGAAATTATCGCAAAAGTATGGGGAACATTTTTTAAATTCAAGATTCCTACTCAATCATAAGTTTTCTTAAACGATTTTTGAGTCACTGATACAAAATACCGGATGATCACTGTGACATGAATTACACACCAATACATTTTCGAAGGATTGATCTCCTACTAGGAGACTCACTTATTGACTTAGAACACACGAATAAATAGTATTATTTCATGATGACCTTGACATAATCCAGTCCTCCGAATACCTTAAATAACAATACAATCATGTTTTGCATCCATCTCTCACCCTTCAAATCTAAAATGTTGGTTCAGAACCGGTCAACATCAATGCCTAAAGCAACCATATGGAATAAAGCATCTGAGCACGTTAACTACTTCGACTATCTTGAAAGTTTAGTCAGTCCTGTTGGTTTGCTTCCTGACTAAATCTTAACACAGGTACAGAATGCTCACTTGGCTTTACTAACTCGCATCTTTTGTAGCGTGGGCGACTACACTCTATGATAATCCGCTGTGTGTTACTATTTTGCTGTAAAACACGATATTTAAGAGTAGAAGACATAGGTAGACTAAGTATTTACCATAGGTGTATCCTAAGCAATTTCTCGTCTATGTTTGGCCTACTGATTCAACAATATTGTAGTTACCCGTAGGGCACTTAGTAAAGATAGTAGATCAGTTAATGTGATTTGTGGACATTCACCAAATAAAGTGGCTAAAGCACTCATTATGTATGACAAACGGCCTCCTAACTCGACAAACGATGTTGGTTGTTGTAAGAGTAAGCTAGGGCTTATTAATAAAACATGCGCCATCAACTCATGAAATCATTGACTCCTGAATTGAACCATATTAGTTCATTAAGATTATCTTGTTGAGATCAATGGGATTTTCGTGACTAGTGATTGAAGACATCTGGTGACATGAATCAGAATATGTCACAATGGCGTACATGGATTCTTTATTTGTCTTCCTTAGAACCTTAGTTTCAAGATTATTTCATACCTTTTATTCCACGAATTCATTTCTTTCTGGAGTCATATTTTCCTATACCTAATCTTTTCTAAAATCACTGATACTACTATTAGTACATTGGTATTCATGTTAATAATTTTATGTCACTTTACTGATGTAGCATGGTATTCCAGGCCGATGTTTATACGTGTCAGGTTCCATCTTACTGATGACTGTTCTAGTGTTATCTAGACCATAGATACAGCTAATTGATATTGATTTGCATCAAATTCAGAACCAAGAACATTCAAGAAATTACAGGTGCGTTCTAAATTATAAAAGTGCCATGCTATAACATTTAGTATAGTGTGAGTAATAAATTCATAAACGTCAGTTATGGCACTTCCTACTAGGAAATTCTTGACGTATGAGGAATTCAAGATGATCTGGAGATTTTAAGAAGTTCAGATAAAAAACTGAAGTAAATAACAGAGTAAATTAAACAATTATTACGATTGCTTTATAAAGTCATAAAATTGAAAAATCAATTACTATGACCAGCCCGCATAACTGGGACATTTTTAAAAAGTAGGATCTAATATATTGTAAGACTTCATCATTATACATATTCTATAGATATATACATTGTTTAAATTATGTAGTTCTACAAAATCAACAAGTGAAAACTTTCAAGATTGTTATATATTTTTTAAAGAAATCCTAGACATTATAATATAATAGTTGGATATCATTATACGCATATTGGAAATTGTCACTTTTAAGAAAAAATCATCTAGCCTATTATTTATTCTATTAACCATTTGAAATTCATCGTTATATGAACTTCCTGTATTGATATTCATATTATCTTAATGCTTACAACTATTTATTTGAAGCCATCTTCTCATAATGTTGTTGAAGGTGTTTTTCTATCATTTGATTTCTCTTTCACAATTTATTTAAATTGTTCAAACTCATTATGATAGTTTCAATATTTCAATTACCTCATCCAACAGCCAATATATATATGTATTCATCAAGAATTAATGTAATTTGAAGTTTACAATAGTTCAACTGTTATTAATTAGATTCATTTTAAGTTAAATGAGTAAATATTCTAAATCTGTCGTATGATTTAAACATCGCAATAAATTGAGATGTTAATAGGAATTTTTATTCATTTTAACTGATGAACTATGTAGAAACATTTACAATTTTTATCAGTATTCAAGGCCAGCTCAGTTGTTTAGACATTTAATCTCTTAGGTACTAATTGTTTTTCTGTTAACTTGGTATATATAAGTCTAGGTATTTGATTAATGTGATAAGTACCATAAGTCTCCTACACAGTATATTAAACCTATATTCCATACTGCTGTACAATATTGTTGAGTTGTATGTGCATGCATATGTTTTAAGGTCTATTGTAAAAAGCATAGAAACGTTGATGGATAAATTTCGTAAAACAATATTTAAACGATAATTAGGTAAATGAGTATGTTCTTCATGTGATATTACCTAAACTGTGTTTGTATTTCTTTCGTTATATCAAATATTAAAAATTATAAGGTGAAATTTTGTTGATCTATGTGTATATGTGATCATGTTTGCCTTTTCTAGCTTTTACCTAGACAAAGTACATTTGTTCAACTCATGCACCAATTATTCATTAACTTTTCGAATAAAGAAATACACAAGAATATAGATCAAATTAATTTCTTAAAAAATGTGTCTTGTAGTGATCTGTTATATGTCATGCTGAAAACTAAGGGATTTTGGTAGTCTTATAGAAGGCTTTAATTCTGTTTAGTTTGAAGAATTGGTGATACTCTTCTATAGTCCAATGGGGTTGAAATAAAATTACAATACCAATTCATATTTTATTCGAGTGATGGTTTAACAACAAACCGTTTCATCTTACCACATTTTAAACGAATATTTATAAGAAATTTATTAAATTCCAAGATGTTTTGTTACATTGTTCGGCTCCTTTTTTTATCTTCTGAAGTATTAATTTCGATAGCTCTTCTTAAAAAACTTTGTTCATTGACAACTTTATAAATATATCGTATTATTTTATGTAATCATACAAACTATTGTCTAGTTGACATTTCATGTATTTATATATTGCACTGGTTGAAATCGTGAGTTAATTGAAGCTAGACCACCATGGAAAACCTGGAAGCACTAGACGGCCGTTTGGTCCTAGTATGGGACTCCTCAGCAGTGCTCATCCACGATCCCGCACCGCTCGAGATTCAGACCCAGGACTAGTGAAAGTTCTAAAAATCTCCACTAAACCCATTCTGATATTTATATATTGATTAAATTATCTCTAATATCATGGTGAACTAATGTTTAGCAACATAAAATTACCATGTCATATGTACACTGTGTTAATCAGATGGGATAAACATATATATATTGGTGACAGAACAAGTTTTTAACTTTAAATGAATTAGCCTGTAGCGAATCATCTGAATACATACTTTTCTCATACTTAACTGTTTTAACTTCATATAGATTTGATTAAGTTTTAGGAAAACAATTAAACTTTTTAATTTGAACAGAGGTTTCATAAGTTTCTAATTTCAAAATAAAACCATATAACAAATAACTTTTCAAGTCAATATTATTTTTATTAAGTAAAGTGTTACCAAACGTTTAAACAATTGGATTTATGAATTCATTATTTTCTGTTCATCAGGTAAACGTCTCTTATGTATTTATGTCGGCTTGAGGTTGGAAAGTGGTGAAAGGTGTTTGAATATGATTTTGCTATTGTAAATCATGTTTAATTGGTACTTTTCATGCATTTTCTCACGAGATAATGATTTGTCTTCTATTACAAAAACAATAAAGTAAATTAAGCTTAGAAATATAACAATAGTGTTTATTCTATGATACATTGTGTGATAATTTTCTAATGCCTGTCAAAATGATTTCCCTTGTAGTAGACTAACATAATTATTGTTTCATCTAAAAAATAAAACTCCAGATACTATGAGTAAATAATTAAGACGTGATATTTAGTGAACCACTTGAATGTTTGAATATTACGACAAAACGAGATCATAATTGAATGATGTTAGTATTTGTCTGCCATTGATTCTTGATGAATTAGACTGTTTTTATTACAGTAAGCTTTTCGTGTACAATTTATTTTACCTTTACTAATATTTTTGTTTTACATAGACATTGTTTTTTCTATTTGTTAACTTCACCATTTTCTTTTGTTATTCTCTAGATGGATTTCGAAATAGGCAATTAATTAATTTAATTCGAGAAGCGAAAGTTTTAATTGAGCTAGAACCACATCCAAATATCATTAAATTTCATGGACTATGCATAGATAATAGTAAGTAACGTTTTGCATATATATATAGAGAGAGAATAACAAATTACTTGTGTAAACGTAAATTGATTTCAACTAATATTTACACATGTCTTGTCTTCAGATCACTTCAGTTTCAACCATTGATTAATAGGGATTCGAATCATCATATAAAATTTGTGACCCTTACAGTTGAGTAAATTAAATAACACTATAACGTAGGTAATTGGTCATGTTATTGTAATGAGCCATATCAATAGTATTTTTTAGTTAGAATTTATAAGTTCATCAACTTGTTGTGGATGTTAACACGCTCTAATTTTCGTTATTATTATTATTATTATTATTTGTATGACTGAAAGTTTCAATTTGTAGTAAATATGTCGTTGTATGCGATGTTTTCAATTTAGCATAAAGAATAATGCATTAGTCAAATGAAAATACTTTTCTTTAGAATGAACTAAGCAACTGTACACTTTACTAGCCTTCCCAGTGTCAAACAGCTTCCATATATAGATGAAATATTTCATTTGGTTTTTTCCCTTTTTCTTCGTAAAAGAAAGAAACAATTACAGTCATATTGAAAGGGACGAGAAATTATTGCAAGCCTGTTCTCTTTAAATCCATATACATATGTATATGTTAAATACATAAAGCGTAGCATAGTTTCTATACACATTACATGTAAAAATAAGGGTAATCAATACCAATTCGTTAAGCGAGAAAACTAAATTTTAATGACTAACTCTACTCAATATAATATGTATGTTTAGCATCATAAATTAAGTAAAATGTCATGCACTATATTGTTCTACGTGATAATTAATCTAATAATCTTTTTTTTTCTCAATTCATAATACACGGGGTTTCTTTGTAATTTGTCGTCCCAGCTATAGTAGTTTGTTATTATTATTGGAAAAATTCTTTTTCACTATTTTAACAGTGTGAACAATGAATATCCTTTTTTTCTATTCAATTTTATATTTACGTATTAAAATAACTGTTTATCAACTGATTGAATAAATAATAAGTTTCTCTTCTTAATGTTCCAGTTCCGTTAAATGATGTAATGTTTGTTTCTAGGTTTTTTACAGTATAGTTTAACTGATTATGTGAGGATAATTTAATAGGAGACATAGTGATCCTTTGAACTATCGCAAATGTTTGTTTAAATGAATCACTTAAACTAAGAGGCATCAATCTATAATACAGAAACTAAGATGAAAGATACCTATGAAGATTCGAGGAAAAATAATTAAATTTCAACAGTTTTTCCTGATGACATTGAAATATTGATGCAATGATTTGCTGATTAAATCAGTGATCTCTTTGAAATGTGTTTTCTGTTTTACTTATCTGAGTATTTCGAAGAAGTACCGATACTAGTAAGAATATTTTCAGTCCACTTTGCAAATTATTACATAGATAATTCTAATTTTCTAATAAAAAAAAACATGAAAGAGCTTTTTATCAGATCCGATCAAAACCAAATAAGTTTTGTTATGTACATCAGATTATATAAAAAAGGAATTTGAAAGATTTTAAACATCAAGTTTTGCAAACTTGCTAAGGTTTTTTAAAGCACTGTCTTTCAATATTCATTAACGAAATGACGATGACACGGAGCTTAGAAGAAATACATTCATTTATTTACTTCGATAAAACTTAGAGACGTACAAACCTCTCATTCATTTCAATTTTTAAACATGTATGGTGCTATGAACTTTGGAGTATAATTACTCAGTGAACAATTTACTTGTGTAATTATTACTATATATGATATTACATGACTCATCAAATAATCCCAGCTTCTACACACTGTGGTTGAAAGTGTACCTCATACATTTTTCATGATAAAACGATTTCCTGAATAAATGCTACTTCAATTAACCATATTGAAATGGTAATTTTCTTGGCGGATCAATAATCTCTCATTTGATAAGTTGTCAGGGGATTAGAGCTATTGTTCGTATGAGTAATATTTAATTATGTCAAAATGACGTGTCAGATTGCAAGTGATTTATCAAGGATGGACGCAAATGTCAGAAAACACTACACAGTCTTTCACTTATTCCTGTCATTGTAAACTACTCTTTATTCAGTCGACTTCTGTACACTTTGATATCAAGAAGTACTTCTAGCACTGAATAGCTTGATCAATAGACATAGAAACATTTCTATATTCTCAATAGTCTTGACTAAATCATATGGACAAGTCAGATTTTGACCAACACATTTATTAAGGTCGTCATTGCAGATCACTGAAGCGTAAAGCTTTTGCATCACAGCATCCCTAAAAATAACCTGAATATTTCTAACATTTGAAGATTAATGGTCAAAACACTTTAAATTCAATACTGGTAAATTCGTCGAGTGACATCTGTGAAACATGAACGACATCATGATAACTTTGATAAGGTTTTTATGGAGAACTGACTAGCTCAATAAAAATCTATCTCAATGACATCTATGTAACTAAATAATGCAAATTCCTACGTAGACTTTCAGTCGTTAAATAGGGTATATATATACATATCCTATTTAAAATGTAAGCTATTTGATGATGTTAAGATGCCTAGAGTGAGAAATTCAGAATGATAACTTGAAAGTCTGGTCTTATAATTAGGCTACTAGGAAAATAAACTGTTCCATCCATTTGATTGCAATCAAAATAGTCATATGCTCTTACTATTATTTTGTTAGTTTCCTTGAATAATGGCAATATGGTTCGCATATCAAACTTCATTCGCTGATCATTCAAGGCACTTAACTCTATAATGTAATGAAATTGTTGAATATAGTCAGTACGAAAGGATCGTCGATACGTAATCGTCTTTGAAGGATCTGGATCTTGTAGCTAAATCATTTACTTAGGATTGTTAGGGTTTAATCCAAATTCCAGATTCATTACTGGACTTAATTTAATGTAAAATTGCATTGCAGAATCCTTTATATTGGTTAGTATTCTTTTAGTTTACGTCAAGTCGTGCAATAACTTTACATGGGCACATAGATAGAAAAGCTCCCTAAGTGAGCGAATTAATGTAATACATCAAATCTTTTTCAGCATTATTTCAAACTATTCGAATTACTATACTTTATGATCGGATACCTTAAACATACTACTAGATTGGAAGAATCTATATCTATATCATAACATCTCATATCATTTCCACTGGATGATGTAACTCAATTTGACACTGGTAATCTTCAATTTCATCTTTCATGTTGAAAACGATGAGTTGTAATTAATCGTCTCCCCGAAGTGTTATCACTTACCTCTTCAGTATAAGCAACTAGCACGAAATCCCAATGTTTTGTATAAGCATAGACTTTAGTAATCATCAGTCAATTAAGTATTGACCGATTGTACAACCTTTCTGATAAACTAACTTTGCTAAGTATTGAAACCACCCTCTTTTCAATATAGCACTAAAAGAAATTGAATGGAGACTAGAACAATGAATTAGAATTGTGCACACTTACACACTTACAATAGTTAAGTTTCAGATATACTTCTGACGATGTTATAGAATTTGCTGGATTATCGACAAAAATAGACCGAAATACGTACACTCTCGTATTCCTACTAGATAGTGTTGATGATTACTGTGGTTAGTGCTCCTGACCACATGATCATAAATAATATCTTCACGTAAAATTATGTCAGTATAGCAACACCCTGCGATTAATCTCGATTATGGTTAGTTTTAGTCAAGCCTTTTTACTAACCTATTTAACAGACAATCTTTTTCAAACAGTAACAATTCTCTTATTTCTTTGTATTAATATGGTCACTATCATATATGTACAAACGTGTACGTTTGATCACATGTGAGAGCTTACAAACATTTATCTCTCTATATGTGAAAATGTTGATGTCTTAAATGCTGCTCGATGAGTCATTCTCTTTCTCATATATATATGTTCTCGAATCCTATTAATAGCCTTTGCCTTGCTTAGCTGCGCCTTGATTCGATTTGACTATAAATTCACCTCTGTATTCGCTTGATGTTGTTGTGACCACTACTTATTGACTTCTGAATTCAAACACCATTGGGATTTGCATAATAACGGTTATCAATGTGGTCAATTAACGAAGCTAAGCCAGTAGTCTGATCGTGTTATAAGCTTTAACGAAATTAACCTGTTTTATTGTTTGAATGAGAGCCATAGCTATTTTTGTAGAAAAATACCCTACTTAGTCATCATCGAAATTCAATTGGCGCTATAGATCACCAGAATTTATGTTATGTACCGTAATACACATTGACGAGACAATAATCACGGTGACCAATTACACTATATATTCAAGATATCATATATATAAATATATATATATATATATATGCGGTGACCTTCACCCAAAGCAGAACATCATGTTATCTATCAAGTGTTAACATGTCTAACAAGTTTGTTTGTGGTATCATTGTCTAAACACACGTGATACATATACGTACCCTGGATGTATGTTTCTTAGTCTGTTGACTAGGTTTTTTAACTTTATAAAATATTTTTTTATTAAATTCATATCTTGACATAGTACCTCCCTCATATTATTCTTTACTGTCGTCATTGTTATAAGTTATAGAATGAATATGTGAAGCAAATATCAAATTACCAACGTGTATAAAACGTGCGTATTTTTTTCAGTTTATATATATATATATATATATATATATATATATATATACCCTATTCAGAAGAACTATGTTCGATGTATTACTTTCTCTATCCTCTTTAATGCTTAACTATAAGTGTTTTGGAGGATGACGGAACAAGATGGATAACAGAAAGATCTTACATTTTACATTTCCCTTTTATTATGCAACGTGATCGTAGATAATTTTAACAGATATCGCTTCCGCCGTTCGGTTTTTCACGAATTGATCGCTTACCAAGAGTTTCACTCATTGACCTTGAATATGCAAATGACATAGTTTTATTCAGTTAGCTCTATGACAAAGATTGCCATGAATGAAAATGCAGTGATGTATAAGATTCGTCCTCTTCCTCTAAGCGTAAAATGTTACTTCACGATTGTTGGTCTGTGTCAACTCGACTCATTATAAGGAGTGAATTAGTGGGATTCATCGACCCCTTCATCTACCGTGAATCCCTTGTCAGTTTTGAACTATTTATGTCTCATCGAGTCTTAACAGGACTTCGAAAACATCGGTTGGATTTTGACCACATAAGCCATCTACAGTGTAGATGATATTTCCATCTCCCAATTAAAAGATGAGTATACTGATCACCAGCTCACTCACTCAGTTCTACTTCACAGGATTACGGTGGGATCCTCAAAAACAGAGTACATTCGAAGATAGCATTATTCCGATCATAACCCTATCAAAGTATTCCTCAACTTAATTGGGAAAACCATAATGATAAGTGTAGACTACCTGGTTGAGACATCTCCACTCACTCACTCACTCACTCACTCACTCACTCACTCACTCACTCACTCACTCACTCACTCACTCACTCATGGTTATTGCAATCAGTGATTAGACACGACGATTGACGTAGTTTGGAATCAGTCGCAACTGTTCATCTGCATTCATTCTTTGTTTACTTCTATTCAGATTTTTTTTGTGATTTGAATTATTTTGCACTCATTTTCGTTCCACAAACTCCATTCTTCCTTCTCCAACCATATTTTCTATGCGTAGTTGTTTCTACTACATACAAGTGATACTGTACCTACTTTTGGTAGTCTCAAAATTATCTTGATCTCTTTATCTGGTTGTTCAGAATTGATATAGCAACGTGAACCGATTCATATAATGTATGTTTGATTCTATATGCCTTATGACCGACTGACTGATGATTTTTGCTTACATGTTTTAGTGTATGTTGTATTTATCGGTACATCTTGAATTCTGTAAATGATAGAATAAAATTCTCTAATTAATTTTCACCGGAATACTCACTTTATTGCCTAAAATTTAGTTGTTAATGATTATCCTATTCCAGCAAAAAAATCAGCCACACGCTTTTATACTCTTGGTTATACTCAGTAATATGTTTTATAACTTCTTATCTTGAATACCAAGAATTTCAAACGATTAATTTCAATCAGTTCAATATTTCTCATTTGTATAACAACAGAGAATAATTTGTCTATGGTTAACGACTCTGCCGTATTTGTAAATTAACACAATACAACAGAGCATCTGTAATTCTTATTCATCAGTTTTCAATTCTCATTACGCTTTCAAATTTTCTTTTAAGTCTAATCATCATTATATTTTCTTTAAACCCAGTAAATCACTTGTACCAGTTTGTAATCTTAAATATTTTCTGAGAAGTTGCATTAGTAGTTCTCTTTATCAGTATCTATGCGCGATGTCCAGTCATATTACGAAATGTTTAAACTTGAAATGAATTGAGTATCGTAATTAGAAAATGAAAGCCAGTAGCCAAAATACTTAGTCCTTAAATATTTAGAACATTAGGTTGAATGGTTTTTTTCATATATCATCATTACCTTAATCACGAATTTACTCTCAGATTGTTCACTCAAAACATTCTCAGTATACATGTACCCATAGGATGTGACCAGTTTTCTGTAAATATTGGAGCCAATAAAAAATTATAGCATTTTATTATATTTCTTGGAGAATTATGTGACCTCAATTAAAATTTCATCTTAAAGATTTTATTTATTTATTTATTTAAACACATGAACATTGGTACAAGGAAGCACCAAATAGATATGCGCCACATAAATCATTCGACTTGTGTGAGGGCTGAGATACTGCCCGGGTGCCCAGACCGAAGCAGGTGGTTTTCCTAGGGGGCCACACCCCGAGCCTTTGACCTAAAAGTCTAACCCACAAGGCAATGGAGAATCGTGAGAAGATGCAGTCCCATGGTAGCCGGTGACCAGCGGTTGATTTATACGTCACTTGTTTCCTTCAGGATACTAGAGCCCATGTGCCATGTGCACGATTGGTTTAGAATCCGGTTGAAGCGCCAGACATTCGCTTTTCGTCCTCTCAATTTCATAAACAACACCGTCGCTACGAGAATACAGTGAGTAGGACTCCCCTGGCAGAGGTTGTATACGCGTGGCCGTGTAAGAGTATTTCGATAGGGAGGGCGGGCCCACCCCACTCTCGACCATACCAGGGTATTTGAGGGCTAAGTTAAACTGTTGCCAAAGCTTTTTATGAACCTAACATACATATCCACTGCTTTCGATTACTTGTATTTAAAAATACAATCAAACATCCGTTATATTATTATCTGTTAGATATGATCATGATTTTGTTTTACAAACTGACCAATATTTAAAGTTTCAACTCATCAATCATATTATGGTCGCATAACAGGTTTGAGACTCTACTAAACTAGTTCTTTATGTGAAGTCTACAGCCATCAATATATTACGATTATTTATTGTAGACCCATATATTATATATAATTTCGAATAAATGATCTATTCATTTGATTATTTAGTAATTATTTGGTAATAAGATAAAAATAGAATCAAATATTCATCGGATTCCTCATGTGTTTATATTTCTTAATGATTTTGACTGCTGTCTTAAGGTTGACATTATCGTTCTAAGAATATAATCTATTATTATTAAGCTTGTTATGTTGTGTATATTTATTTTTATTTACCTTGATATTTCAGCATTCATTATGGAGATATCACTGTAAACAGTAATGTCAAGCCATTATTATATGAAGAGAATGATCATACTAATAATAATATTAATGTTTATTAATTAAGATTTTTTTATGAAACTATTTGATTAAACGCTATTTTATTTATCTTCAGATCATCCATACATTCTTCTCGAATTAGCTGTTCATGGTAATTTACGAGATTTTCTACGAAATCGTCGACCACCTGGACTCAATTATTGGGCAGACGAACGAACAATCAATTCATTATATGTAATTGTGAAAAATTCAAATGATTTCAAAGAATTTTTATCTGATAGTAGAATTAGACAACAAAGAGTAGAATTGTTAAAATTTGCATTGGATATTGCCAATGCTTTATTGTATTTTGAAACATTATCTGTAAGTTTGAATGATATTGACTGTCAATTAATGTTTCTTTTAACACTAATAGTAATACAATTACCGATTGTTTCATACTTTCCATGGAGGTCATGACTATATGTTCAAAAGATAATAATATAGTATTTCAATCAGTTTTTTTGGTTTCCCATCTTAATTAGAATGTTAACACTGATCAGGCCATAAGTTGGTTCTTTTGACGAAATAATATTAAAATGCAATACTGTAATACTTACTTGCTTACGCCTGTTACTCCTCTTGGAGTAGTATAGACCGCCCACCAGCACTCGCCATCCAACCCTGTCCTGGGCAATCCTTTCCAATTCTTTCCAGTTGTTATTCATCCTTTTCATATCAATAACAGTAATAGTCTATCCATAATTATTACTGAGTGTTAAAAGAATATTTTTACGAGGAACACATGAACAAAATATATGGAGTAGAAACCATGAAGGTATGGAAAAAAACATTTGAACAGCAACAAATTTGTAATGTTTTTCGTTTAAAAGTTAATAAATTTAATGTCTTTATGTTTTACTGCTGTTGAAACATTCAATTTATTAAAACTACTAGTTAATAATACTATTCCGTAATGTCATACTCGTTATTAGTTGGATTTTTTAATTAATGATTGTTGAACTATTCATTCATTTTAGAGGTGAGACCTTGAAATCCAACTTGCAACTCCTTTGATTAGACTGTGAACTAATTGATATGGGTTCCCACACTAACATAAATAAGCGACTTAAAATAATTTAACTCTAATTTATTCTGAGATCTGGATTTTCACTGTTCGTCTATGATGATCGAATTCAATTATTAATTCGGTAACAAGGAATAAAAATAGAAAACCACTCTCAGTGTTGTATTGCTAAAAATTATTCTAGTAATTCTAACAATAAAGCTTATTTCGTTATTCAGCATGAAGAATTTTCAAAAGATTATGTGTTTATCGTAGATGAACATATCGAGATTTCAATTTATTCGATAGCTTCGGCCACAATCTTTATAAAAGGAACACTAAGGAGCAGTTCAGCTGGCCTTCAGCTACTCTATAACTACCCACTATTCCTAAATAACCTGAATAGAACATTGAAGTAGGTCCCTCGTCTCTGGCTGAAGTTCAAAAGGCTATAGCTAATCTGAAAGCGGTAAGAGCAGCTGGTCCAGATGGATTGGCTCCAGAAGTCTTTAAGGATGATAGTCCAATTTTAGCTATCAGGTTGACTAATATTTTAGCTAAAATCTGGGAACTGGACATAATCTATCTGACTGATTGCAATCACTGATTGTCCCAATATATAAGAAGGGGTGAAAATCATCCTGACTAATATAGCATCTAAAATACTAGCCTCAATAATTATTGGGCGCCTGACTAAGATTCGTGAACTGCAAACACGAGAAAATCAGTCTGGCTTTAGACCTGGTCGTGACTGTATCGACCATAGATTCACCATTCGTCAGGTTGTAGAACACAGACATGCTTATCGGCGTCCGACAATGATGACCTTTCTTGATTTAAAAGCAGCATTTGACTCTGCAGACCGAGAGGTTCTGTGGCAGTGTCTGTCATTTAAAGGTGTACCTCACAAGTGCATAAACATTGTGAAGGCTCTTCACTCGAACACTACTAATCGATTGAGAGCTTATGGAGAACTTTCATCTGATTTTGCAACCTCAAGTGGCGTCCTTCAATGCTGTCCACTATCTCCATTTTTGTTTAACTTCATCATAGACCTACTGATGGAAATAACATTCTCGTCGACTGAATTCTCGGGTATTGATCTCCTTCCAGGAGGTCTACTTATTGACCTAGAATACACAGATAACATAATCTTATTAGGTGAAGACGTTGATAAAATGCAGAGTCTTTTGGTAGTACTGAGCAACAATACCAGAATTTTTGGGATGCGTTTCTCCCCCCCCCCTCTAAATGCAAGTTGTTGCTTCAGGACTGGCCTGCGTCAACACCTGAACTAAAGATAGGGAATGAAGTAGTCGAACGCGTTGACAACTCCACTTATCTTGGAAGTCTGATCAGCCCTAATGTGTTGGTTTCTGACGAAATCTCTGCACGGATTCGAAAAGCTCGTTTGGCTTTTGCCAACTTACGTCACCTATGACGACGGCAATATATATATATATATATATATATATATATATATATATATATATATATATTGCGCAGCGGTTCGTTCTGTTTCACTTTACAGCTACGAAGTGTGGTCATTAAGAGTAGAAGATACACGTGACTTACTAGTATCTGATCACAGATGTCTTAGAAATATTGTGTCTGCTGGGATCGCTGGGTAAGTAATAGTGAGATTAGACACAAGGTATCAGGGACTGGTGTTAAATCAGTTGATGAGATTGTAGATTTTCATCGACTGAGATAGTTGGGCCACATGTTACGTATGCCTGAACACCGATTACCACTATGGGCAATACTGACTAGTGCTGAGGCTGGTTGGAAGAAAGTTCGGGGTGGCCAAACCAAAACGTGGTGTCAGTCCTTGAAGTCACTAACTTCTAGTCTGAGGCATGTTAGTAGATGCAGACTACTTGGTTGAGGTCCGCGCGATTATCGTAATCAATGGTTGGAGACTCTGGGTGACATGGTTCATAACCGATCACAATAGCGTAGGTGTATACACTCTTTGTCTTCCCTTAAGCCGTGAGATTAAAATTACTGTATACCTCTCTTTCTACGAACTAATTTTTTCTACCAGTATCATATCCTTACACACAATCTTTCTTTTACATATTACTATTACTGAAGTAACTATTTCTATGAATTCGGTGTTCATCTTGTTGTGCTAATAAGATGCGGCAACTTGGACAGATGCGTATATGTGCCTGGTCCTACGTTTTAGCTGACTGACTGTATCATCAGTTCGAATTCATCTTAGCTTATTTTGATTAAGGAAGTTAGTCACTGTATCATAGAATCTGTAGCTCAAAGCCGAACCGCTACATCTGATCTGATCCATGTTATCAAGTTACATATATTCATATATTATGATGAGACTGTTCGTTTGGAAAATGGTAAAAATAACATGGAATAATAATTAACTTAATTTTGTTATTCATCGAATACGTCATGTAAATGATTCTAATGGGCATATAAACTAAAGTGTACGGTTATTAAGCACGACAGTAATCTATGAATGGCTCTTCAACCAGGTTTTATTTGTGTCATTTAGCTATATTGTTTTCTTTGACATTGAGGATGGTAAAAACAAATATTTTTTTAATTTTTCAATAGTAGGATCATAATACCTATTGTTGCGGATGCTAATTCTTTTCTGTAAGAAGGAAATTAAACTCCTTAAAAAGAACTAATCAGTTATCGTTTTTTGGTGATTCTTAAGAGGAAATTACGTGTCATGATAATTTCGTGATATCAAGTTTTTTAGTGTTTGGATTGCACATCATTAAATACATCTGAGTTGTGACAATAAAATTAATTTGTTGTCCCTTATTCTCATTCGCTTCAACTGGTTAAGATCTTTTATGTGAATCTAACCATCAATATATAACTTGAGTAGAAGTTGGTTATAAATGTAGAGCCCTACTGTATTTTGTTTTATTCTCCTCAGTTAATTTTTACGGTACATTTTATTGAATGTCAAATTGGTCACATCAGTTAAAATAAAAAAACCTATTAGATTGTATGATACAATAATGTAAACACTAATTAATTAGTTTCTTTTTTGGAAATTAATTATTATACAAAGTCACTGACTTACGTCAGCTATTCAGCTTAGTTACACTATGCATGATGCGCTAGATTTATTTCGATGGAAACTAGGCTTTTTCATCATTCGGTGGTGATTTTTCACTATTTCATGCTTCGAATAAACAAAAGTGCGTAAAACAACAACTTGTTAGACCCAATATCTCGGAAATTTTGATTATCATCAATGTGTTTGGACAGTTTTTACAATATGCAAAATAAATTTTGTAATTATCATTTTCAGTTGTTTCATCGAGATGTTGCAGCAAGAAATGTTGTTCTTACAGAAGGATTTGTTGCGAAATTATGCGATTTCGGTTATGCATGTACCCAAGAAGAATCAAATAATGGATACATGGAAATGGATAAAGTAAATTTATTGATTATTTATTAAGATTGTATTGTTGTTTGTTTTTAATGATGTACAGTTTTCTAGTACATTGGTGTTATATGAAGTTATAACTTGTAGTATAATGACACTAGATACTCAATGACCTTTGAGTTCATCCTTTCGTTGTTTCGGCTTTATTAATCTTTGTCCTGAATAAAGATTATTTATCTACCTAAAGACTTTACCTAAAGAATAATCATTACATAAAATATATTTTTTCTCATGTTCTCGCTTATATTCTTGAGTTTAAGATTAAATATAGAAGCATCTGTACTAGGTATTCTTTACATGTTCATGAAACCTACTTGTGAATATTTTTGGAATATATTCCAATAACTTAAACCAGCTCAACAGATTTTATGCATGTTAAAGTGGTCGACTGTGATTAACTTTAAAAGTGATATTGTTTTATTGAACAGAAGATGAACTGGTCATACATACTAGACTACTTGAAGGATGAATTCACTTGTCTAGGCTTGATTTTAATATTGTAATTATCTAACAAATTTGTGTTATTATCAACAAAAAAACCATGTTCTGGTGTAAATTTATCAACTATTTTTGATATTTCAAGAAGTTTATAAACATAAGAAATAATGATTTGATATTACTAGGTTGATACTTTTCTTTTCACAATATTAGATTGGTGAATGATTTTTAACATGATTACTCAACAAATTGTGATCAGATAGTTTGTCTACCATGATGATGGTAGTTATAAACATAAATATCCAGCTTTCTTTTATTATCTTAGTTTTTTGTTTAACTCATCAACAGTATCCACGTACAACTCTCCAGGTGGTTAAAACGAACAATCTTCAAATCTCGTGACATAAGTACGCGATTATTTTCGTAGCATGAAATCACATTAGCCCCTTTCTTGTTTTTGATTATTATGAATCATTTGATATGGTCAATAAATCACTGGTTACATTCTAATATATATATAATCTCCTGCCTTATATCTCTTTATCTTGAAATTCATTTTTTCGGAAAACCAGTTACTATGTATTTTAATCAGAAATCAAGACAAGGAATTTTTTTCTGGTTTTTTATTACGTTGTCATCTTTATTAAAACTGACTAGTCCTAATTTTATTTCTGACATTTATGGTTTATTTATTGACTAAACTTAATGTGCAAAATTAGGTGTATTTTAAGGTTTTTAATGCAAAAGACAGGAAGTTAACTAATTATGGTAACAAAATCATCAAAGTGGCAACAATATATTTTAACGGATACTTATGATTTATTCAAACCTTATGGAACTGATGCTTTTTGACTTGATGGCTTATCAAAAGTCCACAAACTAGAGATAACATTACGCCTGTTTTTAGAAACTCATCGTAGCACTCAGTAGCAAAATGTTTGATAAAACCACTAGAATTATCTTACCAAAACTGTTTAATACATTTCAGAGTATGTATTTAAGTATGTAGACATGGGCAAAATGTGTGAATGTGACAGATAAAACTATTTTGTTTATGTATAGCATCCCTATTTAGGAATATTCTACAAATAAAAACTGTCGATTGCATTTGAAAACAGTTATTAGAAAGAATGATAAGTATACCAAAACTTATAAATAAAATGAAAGAACTACTACTCAAATGCATGATGAACATTAATTTTGCCTCTAACAATGAAGTTTTTGCACAAATATATGGAATCACAATAGTTGTGCGTCAATAGTGTTAATATGTAAGAGCTGTTAAACGATTTGATTAACGTTCGTCCTATACCTAAACACATATATAAAGTGTGACATGAAAATAGTATAGCTTTTCTGGATATCCTACTTTTCAGAAGGGGAGATGGGCCTATAAATAGGAAATTATTTAGAGAGAATATATGAACTGGTCAATATATCCATCTCTATAGTTTTACACATCATGGTTACAAAATAAATTTGATTAGATATCTCAGCCATAGAATCAAACTATTATATCCTGAGAATGATTGCATGTTATCTCAGCGACTAAGCCAGTACTTTCTTAACGAATTACAGATATGATACCGACGATGGGTTGTTCTCTGTGCATATACCACCAGTTTAGCTGGGTCTGTGGAGCTAGGTACATTTCCCGAGCTCAGAAGGCTTTGGAAAAGAAGTCATTAAATCTAATGAAATCATCCTTTCTCACCCTGTAGTTAATCAACCCTACACCAGAATAGATGAAGCTTTTTCTGTCATAACATGTCCTGATTAATCTACCCAAAGAAACAAGATTATTTTCCCTCTGCATAACTGAAGCTATTAAGAGCAACTCCAAAAACCTTAGTTGGTTTGTTCAAAGAGGTATAGTTAGATTCCTGATTTAATATGGCCAACAATTGGATCACCTCATATTAACTGACTATAAACTCTTAGTATCCGATCCATTATTTTAATACATAATATAGTCTAATTTACATCACGAACTGATCTTGGTTGGGCAACCATTAAAAACCGGGAAAAAAACTAACCAATTGTTATCAACCTACCTAGAAAGCTATTCATTCAGCTATAAAATTTGATAATCTCATTTGTTTTGTTTTTTTTAAATCTCATTTATTCACAAACGCCTAATTTCAACTAATGTAAATATGACAATCATGAATTTGTAACTGAAGTAAAACTAAATAATAAAGCTATTTAACGAAACAAAAATTTGTTCCATCAACTATTTCTTATTTCTAGTTTTGTTTTAATTAATTACAACTACGTTTTCTTGTTTTTCTTTTTTTTTCTTTGTAAAAAAAACAAAGCAAAAATAAAAATAAAAAAGTGAATTATTACTCTTATTCCTTGGTTAACTACTAAAAGATAAGTTATATGGTGAATGAGTTAATAATAACTATTATCATAAAAAATAACCAATCAATAATTATTTATCAGTTTAGGGGTTGTGGAGATTGTTACGTTTTTGATTGAAATCATGAGTCAATTGAAGCTAGACCACCATGGAAAACCTGGAAGCACTGGACGGCCGTTTCCTCCTAGTATGGGACTCCTCAGCAGTGCGCATCCACGATCCCGCACCCCGCGAGACTCGAGCCCAGGACCTATCAGCCTCGCGCCAGGCGCTTAACCAACTAGACCACTGAGCCGGCATCCAATGGTGTTAATGTCTAACCTCAACCAATCCACGAAATTGCGCGACCATCTTCCATTGTATTGAGGTAGACACCTGTTTCTACCCGACACGGATTAGCTCCACTGATCACAGCTTATTCGTATAAATAGAAAATTGACTTAGTAATTATTATTTATTACTAAATAGAACAATATCGAATGAAATGAATTAACTTTTTATTATATACTTTTAAAAAACAGACAAGTTATTGATAATTGAATTATTATGTTTATTTGTTTTAAATGATCAAATTAGTATTAAATTTAAATTGTATGTATTTTATCTTACAGTCGCAATAAATAATCTATGAGAAAAAAACAAACTGAAAATATAATGTCACCTATAAATAAGTGGTTTTTGTTTAATGATCATTGGTAAATGAATGTAGTACTATAGTGACTGTTGTGTAATTTGAAGATTAATAACACATAAAACTATTTAAATGATGGAAGATATTCAGAGATTAGCCAATTTAATGATAGTTCAGCTTATGAACTTACTTTATCTGAAAAGTTGTTTCGTTTCAGTTTATGACTCAGAAAGATATAATCACGATTGAGAGCAGAATCATTTGACTTTCACAAACTCATATTACCCGCAAACCAGCTAATTAACCTCGAATGGTTCATATTTCTAACTGTTATCTAAGATTAGATTCTCAGAGAACAACAAAAGTCTTGGATTTTGGCACGAAATTCATTCATCCATTTAACTCAATAGAGTTTTGACATTATTGTTTATATCAGTTTATGATGAAAACCCTAAATTTAATTTCTAACCTTAATCATCAATTGTAAATCATAATTCTAATTCTTCACACAGGTTTATAACCCTCATTTGGTACTGTATATATTAGGTGGATGCTCTCAATTTCAGTCTAGCGTCGCTTAAAGATCGTCCATAAATTATAGTCTCACTATATTTTGGTTTCACTTTATGACAATTTTTAAATGAACATTCAATTCCTCTATCTCTCTTTAGCTAGCAAATATAAAAAACTCACTGAAATTACGTAAACATATGATAGTACAATAATCATTACTTTTATAATATAGAGACCACTTTAAATCTTGATTCATTCATTTATTCAAATGTCAATCATTTTAAGAATCTTAAAATTCTAATATCATTATCATTATATTTTTATTGTCATTTAAAGTGTACATAATTTAAATAAACTTTTTATAAAAAAAAAAGAAAAAATATCTTACTCTTTTCTATGTTTATTGTTTATTTTTTTCTTTCTTTTAAATACTCAATGATGAATATACTTAAACATGTTTTGAATTTCTTTATCATAAAAGTGGATCTTTAAATTTTGTCTCGACCATTCATCTATCATCATCATCAACATCATCATCATCATCATCTTATTGTGTAAATCACATGACAACAACATGAATTATGATCAATAATGGTGAATGAATGAATGAATGAAATTAGCCTAATCTAACTGGTTAATATTCAGTTTTTCTAAAGTAATTCTTGTTCTTATTATTAAAACTAATAAACAATTATACTTAGACATGAAATATAATTTTATAGATTAAATTTATTCATCATCAATTATTTTTTTTATTTTTTTATTGTTGTCGTTGAAAAAATAAAAAAAATATTAGGTTTCATGTTTATTGTCTTATGTTGCTAACCTTCTTCTTTTCTTTTTTTTCTAAAGAGAGAACTCTTTGTCAAAGCTTATGAATAGATAGATACTTTAACATTCAATTAAGTAATAAGAAACTATACGTTATTATTAATTATTATTAATGTAATGAATAACCTTTGGATGATGATGATGATGATGATGATACCCTGGTATTTACAATGAAGTGTGTATTTACATAGTATGTACTGTTTTTTGTTTTATTTTTGTTTTGTTTTGTCTTTTTTCAATAAATAATAATTTCTTAATTGATTAGTGAAGCATTTATCAATTAATAGAGTACACTATATTAATAAATGAATTGTAGCTAATAGTAGAATCAAAGATATATGTGTATCATTCTATTTAGGACTTATTATCTGGATATACCTATATCTCAGTGTTAATATCCATAGTTTGACTAATTTCTACTTCATAATGATATCATAATAGAATGTTTACTGATTTGTAAACTTTGCACCTATAGTTATTATTCTCAGTGAGTTTAATATAGACCTCTGAATTCTAGATCTTTGTTTTTTCTTAGTAAACGGAATACACCGAATTAAAACATTAAGACATTATCATCCTGTAAACTAAGTATATTATATATTTGTGATTGTATAGCTTTGAAAATGAATTCGCCGAAAAGAGAACTCTTCGCTGAACTAATCTTTCTTATTTAAGGCCTTTTTTTCTCTTTTATCGTAAAAGAGAATATTTAGCATTTTTAGGCATTGAAAACTTTCTGATATAATTTAACATTCCATTTTATGTCAGTATTAGTCCTACAAAATACCTGTTTTCTTATCACACTTAACCATTTTGTACACACCAAAAAAAGCGGATCTACTGTCTCAGAACTTTTCGATTTTATTGTGCTGAATTACGTAATTAATTTTTTTGGAATAATTCTAGTCAAAGTTATTAATTTTGTTTTTGTTTTTTGCGTTAATTATCGATTAGTACAAATAGGGATACAATTAAAAGAACACACTATCTTGTAACATAGCTACAAGATGTTAATTTCATTCATTGACTCTCTTAATCTTTATAGATATTCTTTGTCACCGGATAGTCAAAGGTAACTGAAACCATTAAATCCAATGTTATAACTCAAAGTAAATTTCAGTAGGTTGGAATTATCCTCTCCTTTCGTTTTTTTTTAGTAATCTATGAAGATGTTGCATGTTCTACGTCAATTTATATATATAAAGTCATATGTCATATTGTGTAAACTAGACTGTATAGTTCAGAAGTTTGAACTAATGGGGATTTGTAGCTCAAATAGATGCTTTTGTTGGTATTGTGTTCCTAAAGTCAGATGGCTTAATTGCGAAACTTTCATTATTATTATTATTATTAATTATTATGGACAACATTTCCAGAATCCATTGTGTTAAAGCGAGCTTCTTAGTTATTCCCCAAACGTCATATCCATTCGTTCTGATGGTATCACTTCTGACTGTTACCTCTATTCTTGTGTGCATTCACATTAACTGTCTATGTTCATTGACCTCTGGTCTTGTGATAGAATAATCCTATATCTATATACTTATTGATTATTAATTAATCTGAGTATTATGCTTCTAGAAATTCTTTAACACTCTTAGAATTTCCCAGATATAGAATTTTGATGTTTTTTTGTGATTATCCGCCTCCATAGATATCAAGGATGACATATTATTTTATTTCTTTGCTAATTTATATTCATCATAATCAAAAGAGGCCTTAATTTACATACAACAGTATTATCTAATAAATAAATATTATTAATGTAAATAATTCATCTTTGTTTTGAATTTGTAATACTGTTTAGATTATTGAATGAACCGCTACTAGAAAACAAAAAGTAATTAACTCCATAAGGTAATGATTACAATTGAAAGCTTAGAAATATCTAAATAAATAGATAAATAAAATTAAATAATCATAGCAACAATATTAAGATGCTTATTATTAAAAGAAAATATTGATCTTTTGGATAATATAAAGTTTACAAAATTCTATCGAGTTAGCATTTTCATTAGAAAATTGTATATCATGTGATATGTTTTGTTTCTATGTAATTAATTTGAACTTCTCTCAGTGTTTGATTATAGTGTACAATTTTACTTAGTAGTAGTAGTAGTATACCTGTTATTGTTCTAAAATCTATAATGGTCAGAAATGATAAATAATACACATATATATATATATAATGCTATTTAAAAGAAAATGAATTTCAGTCAATTACAAGCGACATAGAATCAAATCACAAAACATTTTGAGTAGAAGTAAACAAAGAGTGAATGCAGATGAACAGTTGCGACTGATTCCAAACTACGTCAATCGTCGTGTCTAATCACTGATTGCAATAACCATGAGTGAGTGAGTGAGTGAGTGAGTGGTGAGTGAGTGAGTGAGTGAGTGAGTGAGTGAGTGAGTGAGTGAGTGAGTGAGTGAGTGAGTGAGTGAGTGAGTGAGTGAGTGAGTGAGTGAGTGAGTGAGTGAGTGAGTGAGTGAGTGAGTGAGTGAGTGAGTGAGTGAGTGAGTGAGTGAGTGAGTGAGTGAGTGAGTGAGTGAGTGAGTGAGTGAGTGAGTGAGTGAGTGAGTGAGTGAGTGAGTGAGTGAGTGAGTGAGTGAGTGAGTGAGTGAGTGAGTGAGTGAGTGAGTGAGTGAGTGAGTGAGTGAGTGAGTGAGTGAGTGAGTGAGTGAGTGAGTGAGTGAGTGAGTGAGTGAGTGAGTGAGTGAGTGAGTGAGTGAGTGAGTGAGTGAGTGAGTGAGTGAGTGAGTGAGTGAGTGAGTGAGTGAGTGAGTGAGTGAGTGAGTGAGTGAGTGAGTGAGTGAGTGAGTGAGTGAGTGAGTGAGTGAGTGAGTGAGTGAGTGAGTGAGTGAGTGAGTGAGTGAGTGAGTGAGTGAGTGAGTGAGTGAGTGAGTGAGTGAGTGAGTGAGTGAGTGAGTGAGTGAGTGAGTGAGTGAGTGAGTGAGTGAGTGAGTGAGTGAGTGAGTGAGTGAGTGAGTGAGTGAGTGAGTGAGTGAGTGAGTGAGTGAGTGAGTGAGTGAGTGAGTGAGTGAGTGAGTGAGTGAGTGAGTGAGTGAGTGAGTGAGATGTCTCAACCAGGTAGTCTACGCTTATCAATATGGCTCGTTGCAACAGTCATTGACTATGTTTGACCATTCCTAGTTCTCCTCATCAAATCTACTCCTTCTGGATCAGGAAACATCGTGCGTCGAGTTAGGGTAAGGAGTGGTTAGTTGGTTTGTTGGTTGTGCACAGATATGAGATGTTTGATTCACCTCGGTTGATGAACATTCACAACCTCATCAGACGATGTGGCATGTTTTCTGGTATCCTGTGTCGACGCTCACCACTTTTCATTGGGTTTTTCCAAAAAAGTTGAGAAATGCTTTGATGAGGTTATGATCGGAATAATGCTACCTTCGAATGTGCTCTGTTTTTGAGGATCCCACCGTAATCCTGTGAAGTAGAACTGAGTGAGTGAGCTGGTGATCAGTATACTCATCTTTTAATTGGGAGATGGAAATATCATCTACACTGTAGATGGCTTATGTGGTCAAAGGCCAACCGATGTTTTCGAAGTCCTGTTAAGACTCGATGCGACATAAATAGTTCAAAACTGACAAGGGATTCACGGTAGATGAAGAGGTCGATGAATCCCACTAATTCACTCCTTATAATGAGTCGAGTTGACACAGACCAACAATCGTGAAGTAACATTTTACGCTTAGAGGAAGAGGACGAATCTTATACATCACTGCATTTTCATTCATTCGTCAAATATGTTTTTTTCCTAAATATCGGGTTCCATAACAATTTTTATCGTTTATTTTAGTAATTACTTCATTCAGTTCACACCTTAAATAGATCGCCAGTGTTCTGCGATAGTTATTGTTATTACGGAAAAGCTTTATCGGATTTCTTTATAAAGATGTTTGTAAACAATCAAAATTGAGCCTTTTCCATGTACTACTTTATTCATCATTGGAAAGTCCATTGAACATGTTATATGAAACCGAAATTATTTGAAATATGGTTTATATTTATCAGCTCGTTGAATAGTCTTTGAAAACATCTTAGATTTTACTGTTTACTATGGTTAATTTTGACATTTTTGTTGAACTACTGCTGAGTAGGTAAAGTATATTGTGCTACAATTTCTTTTTACAATTTTTTACACATGAGATTCCCAACTTAACCTACCACTAAATTTTTGAAGAAAAAATAAATTGTAGATCATATATTCGGTTTAGAGGAATTCCTATAGGTAATCTCTGTAACATGTTCCGCACTAACAATATCATCAGTGAGTTTTAATTCATTTTGATCAACGGCGGTCTACCTACCTTTCTTCATTTAATTAAAATGCTATTTAAATTAAATTGATTAGTATTGCTTCGATTTAGATCATTGAAATTTTCCTACCATAGAATAATCAGGGATTTCCTTGAAGATTATTACCGCCTATTCATTACTTACCTACTTTTTTCCTGATTGTTAACTAGTTTATTGTGATTGAAATTTATCTTATGTCTACTGCTCATGGAGTATTTATTAGTCATCACTTATGGTCCAGCAAATTATTAGACCCGATTCAGTGGATATCTATTATTTGAATTTATTAGCTTTGATTTTAATTAATGGAATTTATCAAAACTGATGTATAATTTCTTTTTTATCAGTGAGAAAGATCATTGACAGAATCTGTCTAAAGCATAGTACTTTGTACATTACCCTATTATATCCTTTATTTATCACAACTAATAACTGATCCAAGTTTCAATATATCTATTCTTTAATTTACTAAATAAATAGTATTTGTTTATTTGGCGATTTGTTAAACTATCATTTTCATGTTCGAAATATATTTTATTATGTTACTTCAAATATGATTGTAACTGATAACATTTTCAAATTCTATTCCAATACTTGAAATAAAAGGATTACTTAGCAGTAAGATGGATGGCACCAGAGTGTTTGATGACAACGAAATGTTATACTTCAAAATGTGATGTTTGGTCTTATGGGATTCTGTTGTGGGAATTATTCAGTTTGGGTAATTCACCATACCCTGGATTAGATAATGGACAACTAATCAACTGGTTAAATAATGGAAATCGTAATCCTAGACCATACCTATCCACCAACTCAATCTACCAGTTGATGCTAGAGTGCTGGTCACAAGATCCCGATAGTCGACCAAGATTTTATGACATTTGTAACCGAATTGCTGAAATGAAATCCAGTTATGATGACCCGAAGGAAAACAATGATTCAATGAAGGTACGTTAACTTTTGCATATCTTTTGGCTTTATAATGAAAATGTTGCTTTGGGGTTATAATAAGCGGTAATGTTCAGAATCAGGTGTGTCGTGTGAAGACGAACTGTGCGTACATTTTACTGTATATACATTCATTGATTCATTTAAAAATTGAGATTGTCCGCTTATTTGTTCACTTTTTTTACCATTTCATATGTAGGGATACGTTGAATTAATGTTGGAGCACGAAGATTACTTGGAACCGCGACAGTATTTACACTAGGCAAAAAGAAACCAACTTTCATTTCACAAGATTATAAATTTATGTACAGTTACTTTTATTACTATCATTATTATTATTACCATTTTTATTATTATCATTATTATTTTTATAACTATCACTATTAGTAAAACTACTATGCTTGCAAATAATCTAGTACTCCTTTTGGATTTTTATTGTGTATCTGTTTCACCATGTATTTGTCTATGTTCTTGTGTGTTATGTGTGTGTATATGTCTTCTTATTTATTCCATTTCCTAAGCAACATATGTAAATGAGCACACTTTTCATAGACTCGAAATATTTGCCAACATATTTTTCTATTCATATTTTGTATAAAACTAACGACTCTTTTCTTCTTTAGATATAATTATCCATTATTATTATTATTATTCCCAGTTGTCCTTTTAATATGTAAACCTTTTTCAATGTACTTTTTTGTTATACTGATAATACTTACTAGTTGGAAGGGGGATCAAGCACTTTTTTAAAGCAAAATTGTATTATCGGTTTTATGAGTACCCTATTTTTAAATAAATTAACCTATACAATTTTGTATTACTGATTATTACTATTGTTATTATTATAGATATTACATATTTCTACTTCAATTTTAATAAGATAAACGTGTTATATTGAAATAAGTGTGTTGTCTATTTTGTTGAATCGGTGACACTGAGACTGTTATTCACAGATCCAGGTATCAATCTTATATTTGCTAAAAAAAATTATTCGTTCACCTGTTAATTTTTCTTGAAAAATTTTCCACCGAGCATTTTCAAATAATTACGTCGGCCATATCAGTTTATTTCCAGAATGAATTTCAACGTCAAACAACATTGACAAATTAGGTAACTTTTAACTACTTTAAAGCTCAAACAGCTAAGAATATATAGAAACCCTAGAGTCAGTAGTTCTTCAAATAGGATTGACTTCATAACTAAATTAACTAATGGAGGCAATAGGACTGCGTAAACGCGTATTCCTCATGCATTAGCAGATGAAACCGGAGTTTTAGTTATTAAATTCGTATCCAATAACTCTGTATAATTCACGAAGCCATATGGGCAAATAAAGGTTGAATAACGATATATATATCTACCAAAGAAGACAAAATATACCTAGTTAGCGTTACTTTTGAATGAAGAATAGTCTTGAAGTAAAAAGATTATTGTGAGGTATACACTTCAACAGTTACTAAGTAACACATTCGAAAATTATAATGTAGACAGTCCCCAAAAGCCCTGATACGGCCGAGAGTGGGGAGAGTCCGCTCTCCCTCTGGAAATGCTCTCACATGGCCACGCGTATATAGCCTCTGCCAGGGAAGTCCTACTCACTGCCTTCTCGTGGTGGGGGTGTTGTTTAAGAAACAGAGGGCGAAAATCGAATGTCCGGCGCTTTAACAGGGTTGTTGGACATGGAGAGTTCACCTAGGGGAGTTGAAAAACCCTGATTACAAACCAATGGTGCACATGTGCTCCAGTATCCTAAAGGAACAAATGGCATATGAACCAATTGTTGGCCACCGGCTACCATGGGACTGCATCTCCTTACGTTGCTCCACTCCCTTGTGGATCAGATCTTTAGGTCGGAGGTCCCGGGTGTGGTCCCCTAAGGAAACCACCTGCTTCGGTTTGGGCACCCGGGCAGTATCACATCCCTCACACGTATGAAATGAGATTTGTGTTGCGCATATGTATTTGGTGCCTCCTTGTACCAATATATATGTGTTAAAATAAATAAATAAAATAAGAGAGCACATCACATTACTGACGATAGCGCTCTTCCTGTGTTGTTATGCTGTCGAACTATTGTGAGCTTTCCCTTACTTGTTTGCCACAAGTTGAAATTAGTATTGGTATTAATTCATTTAGAACGATTGTCCCAGTTTCCTTTGATTATCCACAAGAGCCAATAAGTCGTTAAATACTTTTATATATTTGACAGTAGCCTATGTATTTACTGTTGGCGTTTGTCGTATTATCTATTATCAAGAAATATTCTTAAACCAAAAGACTCTCAAACTGACGGAATCTATCGAAGCAGTTACGCATGTGTTTGTATCATGAACAAACATTACAGTCACTTAATACAGTCTTTGTACTCCGTTTTAAAAACCGGAGATATTAGGATATTTCGGTAAAGGAAGATTCCTCAAGTAGAATGAAGTAATATTTACCAACTGGTTTTCCGTCATAGTTTTACACTAATTTATATACATATATATTCGGAACCTATGCGCAAATGGAGGGGAAACTTCACAAGCTTAACTACTCGATACTTAATTGATAATGCGTTTTGTAAAGCCCTTTGAAATAATGAATATACAATGAACAGATTTTTCAATTTTGCTTTTAAGAAGCTAATCCTATTAATTAATCGTTTCAGATGCGACGAGTTATTTTCAGTCTAGTTTCGATAGTTCATCTCAGCTGGAGGATTTTAAACCTATGTTCCTAATTATATTTTCAAAAGTAAATTTAGGCTGTTCATACCTGATGAAAATTAAGGAAATAAAATAAATTCATTTGATTCAAGAAATTCTGCCGTTCTTGTTTCTTTGAAAATCTTCATTAGACACAAATTTTTGAACTAGCCAGATTAATTCTAAAAAAACTTATCGACGTCGCTCTAATGGTAAGGGTAAATGTGAAGGAGAGCTATAACTGTAAACATGGGAATAAGAAATCAAATCACAATATTTAAATGCTCAGCATTTGCACTACTTTATAATAGAAAGTAGTATGAAAGAGAAGGGATATTTTTATGATTTGATTCCACTGAATATGTGAACAAGGCAATGATGAGATAATTTACCTGACCTACGAGTGGAAATAATCCTCATATCCATAATATGTCAGCATATCAGTATCTAACCAAATTTATTTTCTGGATAAAGAGAGAAGAATAAAGTATTTGGAATAACATTCCTAAATCCTTTTCTTTTTCGTTACTTTAAAATCATTCATAAAGATCAAGTAAGAAGTACATACGGGCACCTTTTCCATCATTGATTGAAATAATCTGGAAAATGATTCTATCCATGTCCGTACAATGAAACAAACCACTTCAGTACCTTCAATGTATTATTCCATGAAATTCGCATATATAATAATTAATTTACAGTGTTACACCAAAAAGTACAAAAACTAACATGCAAAGTTTATGATTGCGTTCATTACCAGCAAACTAAGTAACATATTCATTCACAGTGAGATCTTATTTGGTTCGTTCCTAATTGTTGGGTAGCTGGACATGAAGAGAATTTGTGGCATTTTGTCCATTAAATGGTTAAAATGAACCATTCTTTTATTAGTTCATTAATTTCCTTCAAACAACGTATTCCTACTCACACTTTGAGGAAATAAACATTGTCTACATACGACTAATATTTTCAATTCATATAAAAAAAATCCTGACGTGTCAATTTTGAAACCTGTTTGACATTACTCGTAAGTAGCATGAGTTGCAAAGTACAAAATAATCAATAACAAGTTAAGATTGTTGGGGATGGAAAAATGATACACGTGTAGCGTTTTTCTTTGATCAACTACTAATGGCTTATTAGAAATCATTTACATATCTAAGTAATTATTTGCTGAAAGTATGAGGTTCATACTGGTTACCTAGCCTAGACAATGATCATTCCCCATTGTTAACTGTTGATTCACAGGGCTCCATAATTCACAAACATGTTTTATGTAGGTGTTATTCATATAGTTTGTTCAATGTTATGTCGATCAATCGGAATGGAATGTGGCTTGTGATTTTCTGAGGATGATATTCTATATTTTTCTCAGTGAATATGTTTATTGCGGTTATGCTTTGTCTGGTCATTCATTGACCGTGGTGAAATGATTAACTTTGCTTAGTTAACAAGATCTTTGTATACATACTGTGATGTAACTAAGAAAATCAACTCCTTTGATATGCTGATCTGATTTTTAGGCAAATGGAATATACAACATGGAATTGTCCAACATTGGATTCACCAACTAGATTAAAATGCTAAACAGTGTAAACATTTTATGATTATGCGATTTCTTATAGCCTGTTGACCAAATTATATTATTATAAGTGAGTGTTGATATAATTGACCGAACTGTATTGGGATACGTGCATTCTAAATAGATTACCTCAATATTTCAATTTAGTCACAAGTTTGAGTTAAAATGGATTGTTTTTTTTAATAAACGGAATACACCCATTATGACATTAAATAAGAAAGAAAGATTAGTTCAGCGAGGAGTTCTCTTTTCGGCGAATTCATTTTCAAAGCTGTACAATCGCAAATATATATACTTATTTTTACAGGGTGATAATAATACTGATAATAAACTTATGATATACATGGTGACAGTGAGGTTAAATAAACAAAGGTTTTAGAAAAAATTTTTTTAAAAACAAGGAAAGTTTGATAGTTAATGGCTTAGATATTCATCGGGTAAGAGTAGCTCAGCATGATAAAATAACATGAAATGTTGAAACAGATGAAATGTAATCGGATTGTAACTGACAGTGGAATTTGGCACTCACATTTCTCGTATTCAATATCTAGGCAATCGGCTAACGGTGCACATATACCAATAGAGACTGATCAGTTGAAATTCTGAGTGATAACAACGAGAAATTACAAATACTTACTAATACCATCACACGCGTCAAACTAGTCATTGGCTTTTCGTAATCAGTAGCTTAGTGAATGGTAAGTTGACGTTTGAAGTGATAGGCACTGCAATCCAAGACATGAAGCTTACCAGTCCCTAATAGAACGAACCACATGTCCTGAATTCCACCTCTGGATACAATCCAGTTTTTACACTACATTTTTCTTGCTTACTATTTATAGACTCTTTTTATTATCAGAAACAGAAATAACTCATAAAGTGTTAAGTCCTACTGAACACACAGTATGCTTTTTAAAGAATGAGTGACATAAGAGCGCATTACATCATTATCATCATCGTCAAGAACTAGACAAGACATGCCAGTGACCACTG